TTGTAAGAGTGTACAAATAACTAGACTTCAATTTAGTAAAAAATAAATTACTTATCTTCAAGAGACGGAAGTTAAAAAGCTGTCTATTATTTTTTCATTATCACTCTATTCGAACATACATAATACTTGTACACTTTAATTATGTGGAATTTAAGCTTTGCTATAAGAATAAAAAATTGATTACTATTTTACGTTAAGTTATACTACTAGGTATTCTTATTATAATATTTACAGGTTAAAAAAAAACAATGAAATAAAATTAAATTAAATGGTAAATACCATTTACCTACAATTAGCTGTAATTAATATAACTTAATAAATAAAATTAATAATTAAAACTTAATATAATAAAATACAATATCTTTAACTGATTAATTAGATTTTCTATATATATTAAACAGGATACTGGTTGACTAACTGACCCAGATTCTTTGTATACCTACTGAACATAAGAAAAGAATTTTGAAAATTCAAGCCTCAAGTGGGTAAAAAAGGACTTTAAAATTTATATTCAATTGCGTCAGTTTAAAAGATAAACAAGTGAAATTTTGGATTCAGGCTCTTGGTTCAAAACAAAAATTAATATGTTTATTGGTTTTTGAAAAATTTACATCTACTCGTGAATAGGTGAGATAGGGATGACTGTATAAAAATTCTATTATGATTGAGGCTAAAAGTACAAAAATATATATCATTGGGGTTTGCAACATCATAAGAACAAAGACAAACAACTTCATAAGAACAAAGTTGCGGACAACTATCAATTACAAGATTAAGACAGAAAAGTGATTCTCACAAGAAATCGAATGTCATACGCGAGCGAAGACGCGGGCAATGACTAGCTACTGAAATAAATCCCCAATAATATGTACTGGTAATGCAAATAAAATTTACAGTTTTAAAATTGTTATTAAAATACGAAAATCATATTCCAGTATAATCATTGTATGCCACAATAATATGTGTAATTGAAAAAAATATGCATCACGGTATTTAATATCAACTAATTAAAATATTTTTACAAGTAAATCACGTGGTCTTCTTAAATCCTAGAAATACTGAATTCGGCAACGGTAAATCGAGGAAAATAAATTTGAAATTCAAATCAGTATAAACTCAAACAAATTCAAAGATATTTCAATAATATTTTTTACTTATTTTAACATTATTAGATCTATGTTGAAGAAAACAGAATCTTCCTAATTTCTATTTACGTCTAAATTAAAGTCTATTGAAAAAGAGAATTAAAAAAGCCTACAGAAAAAAGTTACCACAATTGGAACCAAATGCATATTAGTTTTATAAGCCATTTCTGAAACGAGAGAAAGATCTAAATCTGTAGGTAATTTATATGTTGCCGTATTTACTATATTTTTTATGTTAATTCTACAGTAGTATACTTATAGTTTTGTTTAGTTGGTTTGATGCTAATTTTGCTATAATTAAAATAATTATTTTATTTTAATAATATTTTAATACTTAGATACACTTTATTTGTTTATGTGGATTTATTCTTTATGAAACTCAGTCTATTAAATAAATTTATCATATCATAACAAATAAATCCTCAATATTGAAATAGGTATACACATTTCTTAGAAGGACATAAAATTATTAATTCTTCTCTTCCTCGAATTAGGGTAGTGATATGATGATACTGATTATGGAGTCCTTAATACCTATCTCTATATACGATGGCATTATTATCTTAATAATACATTTTTTTTTTGTATTATTATCAAGATCATTATATATTCTTTTATGGTTTGAACCAACCCAAAAGTTTAATACCTACAAATTGATGGCGAGATTCTCTCATGATGATAGCGTGACAATAAACACGAAATTCAACAATACAGTTTATTATTCATTCAGTGGAAAGACAGATAATACTCGGCCACTGGCAGGCTTGTTTTTGTAGCTCGTGGCCCATAAAATGTCTCCGCTGTGGCAGCTCGTCAGTCAAAACGTTTCCCGCCGACAAATCGCCAGCGACGCCGCCCCTGTTAACTTCCTGATTTATTGTCGACCGTTTATCTCATTTTTTTTCATATTGAGATCGACGACTACACTCTTTTTCACATTACCAGAAATTCACCTTTCTACTTTAGAAATGTAGGTAGCTTTTATATGTATAAAGTTTATATCTTTGTCTCTGTTTAACTAGCCCTACCCTACCTCGAGATACTACCTCTGTTTTATATTTTCTATACTAAGCACTACTAATATTATAAAGAGATAAGATTTGATTATTTGTTTGTTTTAATGAATAAAATCAAAAACTACTTAACCGATTTTAAAGTGTCTGTCATTTATAAAAAGCTACATTTTAACTATTAATATATGCTATACATTCAAATTTAAAAAATTGTAGATACTTGTGGGCCAGATCACTAGTCTTATAAAATTCAGAAAACGATATGACAAAAATATTAATATAAGAAACCAAAAATTGGGATAATTATATCAAGTCATTAACATTGTGACAGTATATCCAAATGAATGTCTCTCAAAGCTTTCCGGGTGACATCGATTGATTTATGTTTGAATATTTCATGAAGATATTACTGTTTCAATGTTATATCGTTATTTTTGTGGGTCACTCGAGTCAATAATAATAACAGTAACATCTATCAGAAGAATATATTCATTACAGTAATTAAAAATAAGAGAAAGAAAGCGTTGGCATTACGTGACTCGACAATTTTGTAAAATAACACCTCAGAAGGATACACTAGGAAGTGGAAAAAAAAATCACAGAATACTTACATGACCTAAATAAAGTAATAGAAAATTGTTATACGAGCCAAGAACTTTGTGATAACGTTAGCTGTCCAAATGTCAAGTTATATAAGGAAGTGAAAAATATAGTCTAGAATAATATATATAAATAATAATGTGGTAATATTATTCTTATTATTTAAATTCCTCTTTAACATAATTTTGTCTACATAGACAATCAGATGATTGGATTGATTTTGATGAATTTTACTAATTACTGTAACAGTGTATATGCTATGTGGTATTATAAAACTAAGTGGTATCGTAAAACTAAACGAACTTAATAGTCGAGGAATGGGCAGCAACGTCTTTGTTAAAACATCACCAAAAGTTTAACTGTAGTTGTCAACCCGCCTGCCAAATGTATCAACTACTGGCAAAACCTGCCTTATGGAAGAGGCCGATGTTTAGCAGTGGACATTTAACAGCTGATATGATGATTCATTATTATATAAATTTTATATAGTTTAAATTTAAGGTAGATGCGACAAAACAAAGGAAAGTGGATCTATCATATATGCCAAACGTTTCATATTAATACGCATTGTACGGGAATTGTATATTCAAATCAACGATGTTGATACAGTGAACAGAACAATCCCAAGGGATTTCAATGAAAGACAAACATTATAATCGAGTTCCTGGCACAATATAGCAATATATAATCAAGTGACTATTGTCAAGAATTGAATCACAAAAGAATAAAAATACCCCAAGGATGAAGATTTATACAATAACTGCGTAGAGTTGCAATGAAAAGATGTAACACAATTGAAAAATGCATCTTTGTTTAGATAAATATACGTCAGTATTTTTTGAGTATTTCAAATATTACACAAAAATCATTATAATGAATACTTTATTGACCTTAACTGGATTACATCTGAAATATAAACAATTTATTATTATTGGCTTTATCACGACTTCGATTTTCGTGACCGGGATATGATGATTAATCAAGATAAATAGTAGTCTATGTCCTTTTGCATCCTATATAGTGCATGTATGCCAAATTTACCAACAACACTAAGAGATAACAAATAAAATTACTTTCTAATTTTAGTAAGGATGAAAGTATATGTATCTACATTCAATTAGCTAATACGCCTATTTGGTACAATAAATAAAATCACCATATTGTAGTCTGCCGATGAATACACCAACGAAATTATAACAATAGATGATTACTTTTTTTTAAAATACTAATTTCGGTAAAAAAATTAAAAGTGTGGATTAAAAACAAAGTGATCTAAGAATTCAAAATACTGTTTTCTGACTAAGTATTAAGTGTTGAACTATTAAATTCGGATTTAATACAAAATATTATTATATAATTTTAAAAACTTGCTACTATATACTCACATTTAAAAAAAAAACGATAAAATGTTTTAGGTTAAAATTATAATAAAATACTCTTAAAATTGATCTTTCTAAGTATACGAATTACCTTTGTTTTTAAATGTTTTAATATTTTGACTACATAAACACGTATATTATTGAGAATAGACTATAATCAGATACGACGAATAAAATAAACAGCTTCCGTAGGGGAGTTGTTTTGAGCGTATGTGTTCTCAAAAATGAGTATAAATTACAAAAAGGTTACTTTTTATAATTATATTTAAAAAACAAGGCATATTTGAAAAATCTTAAATTACATATTAATTCAAAATAGTTATGATATAATCGGCTTTACTCACGTAATATCTTCGAGATTACCTGACTAATCCAGATTCAATAAATAATATTTCTTACTCATACGGTATAAATTAGAGAGAAGAAAAGTACTATTTTAAAAATAAATACGTGTGTTTAAATATATTTCATAGGTATATATGTCACAGACACATTTCACAGCCTGCCGTCCTCAAATGGGAATTTCCTTTGAGGCTAGATGCAGCAGCAGGTAAAAAGCGAGTAGCTCGCAGGCTCTCTATAAGGGCCCTCGCCTTTGGTTCGTTAGCCAAATTAACACGTTAAGCAAAAGTTTCATTTCAAGTCCAACTTTTAGAAATACCTTTGAAATATTTTTCCTACCTTTAAATAATTATAATGTTGGTAGGAAAACTCACTGGATTATTGTCATAAAGGATATAATAAGCAATAATATATTTATTTATATATCTATAATATAATGTAATAATAAAAAAAATTGCAAGTAATTTCATTAAAAATAAATTCAAAAATAACGTGTTAATAAAAACAGCATGCAAACTTACATGAGTGAAATAATAGTAATAAACGTCAACTCCTGAGTCAGCAAGTACTTCGGCAAAATAGTTGGCAGGACACACAAAAAAGTAATCGCTGACCACATCAGCGATCATCTTCTGATTCAAATAACCATCAGTGATCTCCTCCCAGTCAGTATACTGGAAGAAATAGAAATCAAATTCATTTTTTACTACCGTTTATTAAAATAGTTTTTTTTTACAGTTAACGCCAATAGGCAAAACTTTAAAGGTTAGGTTAACTTTAAACAAAAGGCAAGTAACTTTAGTAAATAATTAATCCTTTAGTCTACCTTCACCTTTATAACTACTATAAGTAACTCTTACAAGTAGAAGTCACACAATGTACCACAGTTATTCATTATTGACACTTATTCCAAATAGGGATATCCTTTTTAGTAGTTTCTCAAAGAATGATAGTTTCATTTCGTTTCGGTTGATAACAGTTTTGAACCATATGTACTTTTACTGTAGGTTGATATTATTCAACAAGTTAGAATAGTAATATTACTTGTTTTCTTATGATATTATTACACAGAGTGTTTTATTATACGGTTTCTGTAGTCTTATTTTTTGTTTTGATATGAACGAATGTTTTGTTCATTGTCTTATTTTAAATAGTTAAAGTGCTGCTAAGATAAAAAAATATTTATTGGTCTTTAAAGAAGTATCCAATTATACCTAATTATGTTTTTATAGTAAACAATCTGACGATACACCTAACCTGCACCTATGCACATGAGAGTCCCATATACATCACAAAATACACTGTGTTTGCCATGATATTACTTAGTAGTTCCCATATATTATGTGAATATTATTTATAGAGCCCATTACTCTACCGAATGCTACGAAGTTGAAACGGTACCCAAACATTAAAAAATATCATTTTCGATTTATATTGTCATGTCAAAGGACCATCTATCATTTGCCACTTATCTTCACTGTGAAAACATAAAAAAAATCGATATTCCAGTCATGTAAATACTTTCTTAGACTGTACAATCGTTGTTCTCTCTACCTCTACAGTTAGAGAAGGTTCAATTCAAAATGGTCATTATTAACTTTTTATGTATCTTCGGATAGATTAATCATAATTACAAAAATTTATAAACAAAATAAAAATATATATGTATACACCATTTAATTTTTTTATTAAATTTTACCACAAAATATGATTTTCAAACTAAATGTGAATAGATAATACTTACTTGAAATACAATTGCCTCTCTCTTAATTTTAGAGAAATCCTTAAAAATTGTATCGATGATTTCTAAAAACTTTTCTCGTTGTAAGAAACTCGGGCCATCCTTTTCAAAATAGTCGAGAAAATCATACAGCAAGAAATAAGTCCCTGAAAAAAAAAATCAAATGTTATGAATGTTTAAAATTTCTATCTGCTTATATTTAATTTATTATAATATTGTCAGTGATAAAATAAAATTTTCCAAGACGAAAATGTCATTATACATACGTCTGTTGATATACAATATATAATATCAAACATAAGAAAATTTTTAATTATTCTGTACTATCCGCAAAATGCTCTTAAATTTGAAACTGTGGTATAATGCGCATATAAACGAAATATTACCTCTACTTTTGTGTATGCCATAGCTGCTAGACAGTAATTTATACTCGCCAACTTTAAACTATAGCAATAAAGTAAACATATACCTGTTAAAGTCTCAAAACAAGAGTATCTTTAATTTTTAACGATTTTTTGGTTAATTTAGGATTTACATGTATACATAAATACATTGGTATCAAAATAAAAAAGTATTTGATAAGTGTAATGTATGTACAAAAAAGTGTTTAAGTATATTAGTTGTTTAGTTGGCCTATGCTCAGCACTGGACAGATAATGGCTGATATGTTGACAATCTCAGTTAATTAGTATATAGTTAAATACGGTTTTGTTTCTAGATTATAATTCTGCAACTTTTTACTAATTTTTTTGATGAAACTTTGTTTAAATTAAAAATAAAAAAAATACATCCTAGTTAACTGCTCTCAGTTAGCCGCAATCTAGTGAAACCTATGTTATTGTATATAAAAAAGAATAAACTTCCTTAATGGAAGTTTATTCTTTTCTATAAAAGGGTAAAATCTCTAAAACAGAACTATAGATTGTGGTAACCCTTACTAGTAATATTTTTTTTATAGACAACCATTTGCTAACATATATAGAAAGCATAAACTTCCATTTGATATAAATCTTATCAAAATACATGGTGAAGAGAAATTTACTATAATGATACGTACGTATTTTTACCTTCCAATCCTAGATTACAGCTAACTGAGAGTAATGCATTTGGGATGCATTGTATTGTATTATATGAGAGGATCTTAACCCATTCGGACTTAATGAAGCTACTCGTATATGTCCAGTAGTGTTATAAATATATATGTTTATATATATATATATATATATATAGATAATATATATATATATGTATGTATATTTATTTCTTCAGACATCTAAAAGATTTTATAAGTGTTTTACGTATACATGTGAACAGTATTTATATATTTTTATGTAGTTGTGTAGATGTTTATATGCATGTATGCCATCCAAAGGTTGCCTAGAAGAGATCGTCTTAGCGATAAGGTCGCCCATTGTTTTTTCATTGTAATTATTTCTTGTAATTATTTATATTTATAATAAGTCTACTTTTGTAATCTTTTGGGGAAAACAATAAAAAGTATCTATATATCTATCTATCTATATATCTGAGTTTAGATATGACAGGGTGAAATACGAGCACATACATAAAATGTTTTGCTTTAACAAGACCGCTTCCGTATTTCATAACATCTAATAAATTATGTGGCATAGCAAGGAGGCATTTTTACAGGGTCCAACCCTCATCTTCGCCTTGACCTCGTCTACACGTGTTGTGAAATACCTGTGCGTATCTTCCTCAATCTCACAATAATATTATGAACCAACATATATAAATGAAGTTTTTATATGTAACATAGTTAATTGAAGAACTTGCTTCTATATTTGTTTTTGTTCTGCGTTGATCAATCCATCAGTTCATTACTTTGTATATATTATGTATTTCCCGTAGTTACGTCTACATAAATTTGTTATCTTATTCTCGTGGAAATTAACAAATACCGTATCTTAATAATCATTTTTTATATATAAATAATCGGTGTCCAAAATTTCAAATCCCTGAACCGATATGGCATGTTTATATAGTTTTCTTCTAATATAATTATAATTATAGATTGTACACGATAAAAAATATGATAACAAAATTGAGATTGCACTATGAGGACTCAAAAATTTGAATTTATTTATTTTGAATTATCGTGACTTAGATAAAATAATCATTTATGTTTAGTTCAATACTTTTGCGTGTCTTCCATCTCGTTTAGACCCTAATCAGCCTAGGCTACAGTTATCAAAATTAAGTAATCTAAAATAGGCGATATGAGATTAAACAGTAGTCCTCTAGCTCTGCAATGACGTAGATGTAGAAAAATGTGACGTCAAAATTGGCTATTGTTTATTTTTTTGTCCATACTCTTAGTTTTGGTTGTGAGCTTCTTGGAAATGACCTATAAATGACATCCTTACACTGTATCCTTGAGAGATGTATGTATGTAAGTAAACAACGTAGTGTACACAATATATAATTACAAATACATAATTATATGTTATCATCGGTCAAGGATATAAATTCTAACAACAGTTACTGTTAACACCTTGACGTATTTCGGTATCTATTAAAAACTTTATTTCATTCAAGAATTTTAAAAATAAAGAAGGTAGTTTTTGTATGTACTATATCTAGGTAATATTATGAAATTTTATATTATACATTAAATTAAATCAATGGCTCACGTCAATTATCCACAGATAAAGACACCTCAAGTGTCTAATCATTAAATTTATGCATGTCACCGTTAAACTATATATTACTGCAAAAATTATGTACAAAATAGTAAGCCTCATCTGTACTAAACACTTCCGAAAATTCTGTTTTTAATGTTGTTTATATATCTTTTTTCTAAACTTTTCACGATATAAGTTTTAATGTAAGAACTCTGAGTTCAATTTGTGTCTGGAATTTTTAAATAATAGCCTTCACTTGGCGCATGTAACAGCTTCTCTTAAAGATCTTAGACACTCCATTAAATGAGGTCTAGTTTTAATTCCTAGTAGGCAGTATTAAAAATACATAACGATAATTAAGATAATGAATATATTCAACTTTAATCAGAAAGTTTTCTTATTCAATCCTTTTGTTATTTACTTTAGTAGTACAAAAAATTCTAACGATAGTTTGTTGGTGGGAAATATGGTATTATATATTATCACAAATTTTTGTAAAGATAATTTTCAAAATTATGTGATTTTTCAATAAAATTATTAGGTATTCGTTACATAGATTTTCTTATTTCATGAATAGTTTTCCTTGTATTAGTTGCTTTTATTAAACGTTAGATTTAAATGCTATAATTAAATTCTTACTAAACATAATTAGAATAAATATTGTTGAATAAACTAACACTCCCGAAAAATTTTAATTTAAATAGTAAAAATGTAATCTTACTGATCTTACTAAGATAATAAAATTGTAAGTATACAATGTCTATACAGACATTGTATATATATATATATATATATATATTCATTCATACATATCATATGTACCTATATCTATACATATATGTACATATGGAACACATTTATGAAAAAATAAAACATTATTTGTCTACCAAAATAATAAATTTTAGATTTTTTTTCCAAAATAAACTACTGCAACAAACTGAACTCGGTTTTCACAGCTGAATTTCTAAAGGTGTAACCTAAAAATTGGCATATGTTTTATCTTAATACACTGTCAAGTTCATTGGTTTTCTTACACTCGAAAACTACGTCTACGAAGTAGCGAACAAACAGCTAATTATTAAGTAAAGTTTTAAAAAAAGATTAATATTTTTATTATAAAATTTATAATAATCTAATTGTTTTTTTTTTTTTTTTATTGTACATTATCAACGCAGTTTATGTTAATACCACAAACAATGTTAATAATAAATTTATGTTATTAATTAATTTTTATAGTAAAATAAGACAATATAAGTAGTCCGAGTGATATCATGTCAATATGTTCGGCGATACGTAGTTATAAAAAACAATTGACCTACAACGTATAAATTAATCTTCTATCTACTTTTATAAAAAGAAAAAAAAATAAGTTCTTCAGTATTTCCAACGTGACGGTTTTGCTGTTACAGAAGTTCATAAGAGCTAAGAAAACTACATCGTCTAACAGACCAAGTGGGTGTAATTAGCCACAATTGTGGGCATATAAATCACAATCTATATTATAATTATAAAAATTTATAAATATGTTTAAATGCTCAGATATTTGTATGTTTGTTATTTAATCACTCGTAAATAATTGAGCCAGTTTAAATTAAATTTTGTACACGGATAAGTTATATTGTATTTTAACACATAGGAATACTTTATATACTAACGCACGTAGGCACCGTCGCGGGAAACAGTAATAAATTATAATAATAAATCTCGAAAACCACCCGATCTAATTTTTTATTGTGTTTATAAGGATTATTTTTAATCCAATAATAAAAATGGACTGGTAAGACAACTGTCTTGTAAAAATAAATTAAAGGTATTTTTCTTTAAAAAAATGTATACATGGCTATATAAATGTTTTTTTTTTTATCATTCTATACTGACATCGTTGTTAAAAAAACAATAATAAAAAAAATAATTTGTATTCAATCATTAATTTTTAAATTTCTCAGAAAAGTAACGAAGGCTCTAGTTGTTTCTGGAGGGGACAGGGGCGCGTGGCAACAGTACGGCGGGGATTGGACCAACAGGCGAGGGGAAGCGGGGGCGTAAGCTACGTGGGCGAGTCTGTAGTACATGGTAGTACGACTAAAAATCTACGACGTGGTATTATTGTGTCTACATAGATTTGCGCAGGCGTGCACTCCCCGCCGCCGCGCCGCATCGCTACCGCCTGTTGTTGAGGCCTCCTAGACTCAAATGGCCTCGAACTCTACGAGCAATATTGATAAACCATAGGGAAGCTTTTACAAGGATGTTTCAAAACAAATTCTGTGCACATTTCCTGGGCTGTTCTACACTTGCCATTTCAGGCATTTACGTAATAATGTGAATGCATGTTTAAAATGTGTTTGATGTAATATTCACAGATTACATATTTACAAAGTTTTATTTTCAAAGAAATTTCAATTATTTTGCTCACGTAGAACAAATCTATGTTTCTGTTAGCTTTGTTAGAATATTAATTTTTATCGAGGCCTAGATCACATTATGGAATTTTATAATATGCAAAGTAGTTTTTACTACACTTTCAGCTAATCAGTACATAAATTAGTTAAAAGGTTATGTTAGAGATAAAATCTTGTCAACGCCAGGTAATTATTTTAAGTCGTAGAAGTACATAAATTACAAAATCTTTTATAAATAATATTTGTATAATAGCAAAGATTAACTATATAAAAATGCACATATGTACATAGGTTTTTTTATATATCGAATGTAGAAACATTAACTATTTAGAATAGATTTGAGAGATAAAATCTTGTCAAATATAGACGAAAGAGTGCTTTTAAAAAACTCTTTCAATCTATTTTATAAACTGAAATTACTGTCGTGAGCTTTTCTTTCATATTCCGAATTCATTTTTGTGTATAATAATTTAGGTGCAAATTTGTTATATGAATTACATTTACTATCTAATATAAATAATTACCATAGGAAGGTTACAAACAACACGGGACGTGGCGTCACATACATTTTCACGTGTATTTGTTTTAATGTTTACAATACGTTCCTTACTCATTAAATCTGAAATACTAGTAGAATTTATATTATTATTTAGTAATAAAATATTTTACTTATGTAGAATATTTTGTTTGTAAATAAAGTGTATCTAATAGACCTAAATACATATATATTTATATATATTTAGCTATCACACACAGTGCCTCTAATAAAATGCGCTCAAACTTTATATGCGTAATACAAGGGGAAAAGTCGGTGTAAACCATTAGCATTGGGATTTTCAAATAACCTTATATATTAAAAAAAAAAGAACAGTATATCGGTAAGAAAAATCCTTTAAATTTACAAATGGTTCCATTTAATGAAACATACCGAGAATTAAGATTAATTGAATTGATTGATTTATAAATTCTTCTAACGCTTTAGTAAAGACGGCAATTGTATTTGATAGCATTGCTAATATTATCAGAAAGTATCTAATGAATAAACATGAACAAACACTTACCTTCATCCTGATTGCTTCCGAGTAGCACTTCTGTGTTATGGAAATTACCCTCTTTCATTAATGTATCGGGATCTTTCGGCAAAAATACTCCATCAATTGTGGGAGCGGACGGAAACCCTAATATACCAGTATATGAATTCCACTGTTGAACAGAAATCGTTTTAGCATCGACACCACGCATACAGTCCATGACTAAACTTGGATCAGAAGACAATAGACTACTATTACAATTACAATCATCGACTAAAACTTTTCCTATGTCTTGTGCTCTCTCTCCTGTCATCCAACTCCACGGAACATTTAAAGTCCCTGATTGTAATATGCCTCTTTTAAACAAGCCTTTCATTTCTGGTGAAAGCATATGCAAACTGATACTTCCACCACCTGCTGATTCACCGAACAGAGTAATTAGATCGGGATCACCACCAAATGCACGAGCATTATCTTTGATCCATCGTATTGCTAACTGTTGATCCCATAAACCCATGTTTCCCGGTGCTTCTTCGCTTCCAGGTGAAAAATATTTGTTTAAATATAAAAATCCAAATGCACCAACTCTATATTGCATGGAAGCCACTATAACGTCACTAGAAGAAGCCATTATGTCTGCCTTATACAGGTCAAGTGTAGCTGTTCCGCTCATGTAACCTCCGCCGTATATCCATATTAGAATGGGTACTTTTGGCCTTTCTGTTAGAGGCTTCTCTTGGTGATGACGAACTCGTAAATGCTGTGGCACCCAAATATTTAAATATAAACAGTCTTCTGATATATTCGTGTTAGGATTCCACATTTCTTCTCCCTCGAAACCAGGAAAATATTCATATCTTTCTTGATAACAACTGTTAGGCATGGCCGTCGCTTCGAGAACGCCATGCCAGGGTTCGATTGGTACAGGTTTACGGAATCTTAAAGGTCCTAAAGGGGGTTTGGCAAATGGAATTCCAGTAAAGATATGCACCTCACGTCCCATTACCGTTTTGGCGTAGCCTTTGACGAGACCACTCTTAGTCTCAACAATGAGTGGATCATTGTGAAAATTTTTTGGTACTGAACTAGTCGTTGGTGTGGTTTGTGTTGTTGAAGTTGTAGTATCATGATGGTTTGCCCATGATCGGCTCCATGCACAGGACACAAACATACATAACAAGAGTTTGGTGAACACTATTTTTCTACAGCAAATCATTTTGAATGTTTTATTGTCCTTCACTAACGAGATACGTCGAAGAGCAACCGGAAATAATCCGCCAATTTGATTAACTTTTTGTTGAAACACATTTCTACATTAACTCGCAGTCTATTGTCTTATGTACCTGAAACAAATAAATGTTAAATTAATAAATACCACTTAAAATTCTTATAATCGTTTTATAAATCAAGACTAAGGAAAAATCACGTTTAGCAATTTCGTAGGAATAGGTTAAATCATTTACATAGTACTCTTAGTAACTACTCCAGAGTACATATACCTAGGGCATGTAGGCTGAAACCTTTATAAACAACAAAGCCGTTCAAACAGTTGACACTACAGGGCGTCATCCAGTAAATAGTATTATTAGTGATAATTTATTTACAAAGGTACAGGGATATATTTTAATATTATAGTATGAGAACAAAATTTAACTTCTAACACAAATGACATATTGTGACATAATAGTCTCCAGGAGTGACCACGCATGACAGTCATGTATTATTCCTGTGATGTGGTGTTTTTAATGTCTATAATGTGTCGCCGTGTATGGCCCGGCATAGAATGGGTCACCCTTTCCTTTCCCGTGGATGTCGTAAGAGGCGACTAAGAGAGGGCGAGGGATGGGCAGCAGCATCCCTCTTAAAACATCTTTAAAAGCCTAACTACGGTTGCCAACCCGCCTGCCAAGCGTGGCAACTACTGGCAAAACTGATACGGGTTATGGGGAAGGCTTATGTCCAACAGTAGACAGTTAACTGCTGAAATAATAATAATAAATAAAAATAATAAAAATGAATGTTATTACACTGTCATTAGTAATAATAAAAAACAAAATACTAGTTCAAAGTGTTTTACTCTTCTAGCTCCTTAAGACGTGAAGATTGATAGTTTACAGTAGGTCTATTTCACACGAGTAAATTCAGATTACAAAAATCTACTTTCAATAGTCCTGTTGATATCGAATACAAAAGCAAACGATTTATGTAGCAGCCATAGCGGTAATTATGTGTACATTGTTACGGTCAGGTCACGATTTACAAGCATGACAGCGGTAAGCGGCAACGTGCGTCCGTCCGTAGAAAAATTTTGCCTCAAAGGGATTTCAAGACGAAATCAAACAACAGGTTTTAAAATGACTGAAAACGATGATTGTTATGTTACGTTTTTATTAAGAAAGCGATTGTTTCATATCGCCGATCAGTATTTATTAAAAAAATGTTGGCGTGACCTTTATAAATAAATTATTAGGTATATTACGTTTCAATTCTTTGGAAAATTGTTGTTAGAAAAATTATTTAGTAAGCTAAATAGTCGTTTTAACAGTTTTATATTATTTTTTTTAATAATGGAATAAAAATTTAATATGTCACTATTTCTAATAAATAAGCACAACTTCCACGCCTCCTTCATACCTAATAGTGCAAGTCTTTCTCTTTAACTTATAGTATTATAGATGTATTATGAAATATTTATATTTGGATATAATTACTATTATTCAAGATGCTTGGTCAGTACGGTAATAGATAGATACTCTTTATCATTTCTTCCAAACGACAACAATAATGAACTTATTATAGATACGAATGATAACAAGAAATGATCACAGTGAGAAAACAATGGCGGCCTTAATAATAATTAGTAATACTACGATATCATCCTTTTTACGCAGAGACCAGTGTTCAGTAGTAGGTTGTTATAATAATTATGAGACAAATATTTGGTGAAGAATTATGAATCAAATACGTAGCGTTTACTTTTGTCCTTGGCGCGTAGCTGAGGCACATGACAAATTGTCGACGCAGCTCTGTTGACTTGCAGTTATTACGTGTGACCACATAGTACATATTACGTGTTTGGTAGCACATTATGGTAGTTATTATGTCGTAAGAATGAATTAAACATTGTATTTGCAAATGCAAATAGATCTGGAGATTCAAAATACCCAGTTTACGCAGATCATTATACGGCCAAGTTTAATAAGCACCTCACGCAGAGGACGTAGTATTAACGGATTAGTTGAGTTTTATCGACGGTTTATATGAATTGAATAGCATTAAGATTTGTGTGAATCGGGATTTTAATCCTTCGGTTTATACTGGTAAATAATAATTATCTTTAAATGTTACACTTTATTGAAATTATCAAATTATAAATTCTAAGATTTTCATCAAGCCTTTGTATATTACTGAACTAATCGGGTTTATAATTTAAGATTTTATTCTACAAAAAATAAATCGATTCCAATGACAGCATACCTAGTTATTTTTATTTAAAAACTAAACAACTTATGTATTATATTATATTAGCACTACTAATCTGAAAGTCTAAATAAAAACAATTTTCTAAATCACTTTTAAAATGACCTAGTTCTGTCGTAATAAACATAAAAAAAATACAACCGAGTTGACCTCCAACCTCCTCCTTTACTGAAGTTGGTTGAAAATGTAACTCAGATTATGACATCAGTATAAAAAATATACATCTACAACAAAATATAATATATGGTATACGTCTTTTATTATAATGTATTGACTTTTGGGACAAGAAAAAGCATTTTGCAGTCATTGAAAAGACAAATCTTACATTAACTAGTTCTTCGAAATATTTGTTGCTGATGTCTAATATCGGGGTAAATACATATTTTTTCTCAGAATTTTTGTTTGAAGGGTGAGTTATGGAAGCAAACTCAGTTAATGTGATTCAAGATCTTCATATCATAATGTATTAGAAGAATAGATTTCAATTTTTCAGCATTTTTCGCTGGAATAATTTATAATATCCTTAATATTTCGATTTTTATGCAATCTCACACATAATATATTTAAATATACGAGCTGTTTGTAAAAACAGCTAGGACTAAAGTTCAAGTAGACGAACATGAAAAAGAAAAAATCTCTCTGAATGAATATAATATAATTAAATATAGTGTCTCACAACAAACAGACTTCAATTGTTCATTACAAACAGACAACAATACTAGTTAGTTTCATGTAAAACTAAACTAGTGAACCTATTTTGATAAAATTTATATGTGACCAATCTGTAAGTATATCCTTTCAGATAAAATAAGAATTTTCAAAAAATCGGTTTAGAACTGACGGAATTATGAGGTAACAAACAAAAACAAATACAAACCAATGAGGTTTGTTTTTTTTTTGACTACTTCCTTCTGTTGTAAGTCAGTTGAAAAGGAATATTATTATAAAGATACACTTTAATATAAAGTTTTTTATGAAATCAGAGTAAATAATTTTTAAGAAAGCTTAAATATAGATTTTTATTTTTACTATGTAACTTATAATAGCAAACAACCTGATGGTCCACCTGAGCTATCATGGGCGAAACAGTATACTCTATTGTGTCCATGGTACTGCTCATGTCTATAGGCGACGGTTACCACTTTCCGTCAGGTGGGCCGTCAGCTTGTTTGCCATTCTAAGTTGCATAAAAAAACCTGATAGAAAATCTATATACATGAACATCACAAAATGTGATACGTTATTACGATTGAGTACTATGGTGTCATGCCTTCATATCCTGTACGTTCACTACCATATTCCACCCTTTAAACAAGATCATGCAAATATAGCTTGACTTACCGGCAGAGCATGAGTGGGACAAAGGTACTAAAGCAGACGACTTTTGTACAAATTCTCACTCTAAATAAAAATCATTATTATATTTTTTATCCCGTACAACTTCCTACTAGAGATGGGCAATCCACCTGGGTGGGTTTAAAGTCTGGTGGGTAAAAACCGGGTGTTTTGGGTTTATTGGGTTTAAACCCCATAAACACCCAAATTTTTGGGTGTTTATGATTTTGTACTTCATCATCGTCATCTCAGCCGCAAGACGTCCACTATACTGGACATAGACAATATTATTATGCAGCCTACAGAATAAAAAACTTTTAATTTGATTTTGAGTTTATTAAGAAAGAGATGAAAGTAAAATGTAAAACTACAGTCAATCACTGTCAGATTCAGAGTTATTACAAGCGATGAATTGTATAGGTTCGATAGGCTCTATTTCGTCTAAACTGTTATGTTCATTTACTTGCTCAATGAAAGCTTCTAAGGTATTTTCTTCATTAAACTGAATGTCCTCGCATTCAGCTTTATGTTTAAGATTCCAGTTATAACAAATGAATGAAATTTTTTCAGTTCTTTCAGTTGTAAGTCGATTTCTTTTGTTATTATGTATGTAGCCTTGGATACTAAAGGAACGCTCAGTGGCTGCCGAAGTACAGGGAGCTGATAGAATACGAATCGCTACTTTGCTTAACTCAGTGGAACCACAAATACCTTTCCACCATATTAGGGGCTCAATGCTATCTAATGAGCTCCATACAAATCCTCTGGCCCAAAAGTTTTCTTTAGCTTTATAACACGCCAAATCTGCCATTACATTTGACAAACTTAAGTGTTGGCTTAAATTGTAGATAAACTCCATACCCTTAAGTTCTTCCTCTTGAGTAAGTTCGACTCCTAGAGTCCTGGGGTCTAGAATATATGCTGCAAAATGTATTGGCCTCATTGCCATATTGCATCTTGAAGATACTGATGTTAGAATTTGCTGTTTGCTTTCTTCGCTCAATGTCGAAATCTCATTTAATGCAAAACGTATCTTAGCTTGTACATCTCTAAATGTAATGTATGTGCGATGCAAACGATTCTGGTCGCTCTCTAAGTAAAATATGCTTTCAGTGACTGGTTCCAAAATACTTATACATTCCCCTGTCTTCGTCCAGAAATCATCACTTAGAATTAAATCTTTAATATCTCTTGAAATTACCACATCTTCTCTAACTGTTAATATTTGCAAAGCTGTCTTATTTGCTTTCAAACTTTTTAACGAAGTAACATGACTTCCCCATCTTGTAGCACAAGGCAATTTTAGTGTTTGTGTAGAATCTTCACCCTGCCTTGATTTTATCAACAAGGAACTTAATCGTTGACTCCTTTTAACAGTTTTTATTATATTTATGGCTTGCATAATAAACACAGTTACTTCTTGTATGTTTACAATATCTTGGCACAACAAGTTAAGGATATGTGCACAGCAACCGAGAGGAACAACATGTGGATATTTGAGTTTTGTTAATTCGAATGCCTTTTGTATATTTCTAGCGTTATCGCCAATAAGTACAAGAAACTTATTTGCTCCATACACTTTCATTACTTTTTCAACTTCTTGGCTAAGGTATTCACTAGTGTGAGGATTACTTTCTGTATTCAAACTTTTAACGTATGCAGGTTGAGGTTTTGATATAAGAAAGTTTATTATTCCTTCATTTCTTAAATTAGACCAGCCATCGCACTGAAGGTGTAAGTAACTACAAGCATTTAGTTCCTCATTTAACTCAAAACGCATTTCTCTATATATTTTATCTAAGTATTTTGTCGCTAAAGCTTTACGTGAAGGTATTTTAAATTTTGGTTGCAATTTTTCGAAAAATTGTATCCATAAAGGATGTTGCACCATCGATAATGGCGTCCCTGTTACAAATATAGCTCTCGCTAATTCTGTTTTTATATGATCATCGGTGTCTTGAAACTCAGCATTTATTGTAGTGTTAGCAGACGACGAGGGGCTTATAAAAGAATCATTTGTCTCTATCTCTGACAGTCCAGACATTTTGGTTTTGGACGAGCTATCTTTTATAAGTTTCATAGAGTCTTTTAATGTTTCTGGAGATTTTGGACAAGTGATAAGATGTTGAAGCATTTTGGCAGCATTACTGAATTTGTAGACCTTATTACAAAGCTTGCAAGAAACAGACTTGTTTGGTAAAGTACGGTAGTGCTCCCATATGCGTAAATCTTTAGGTCTCCCCATTGAACCTAAAAAAATGAACGATGATTAGTTGGTCTGACGAAAATTCAACAATAGAGTGCCTATTTTTTTACAATGATTATTTCTTGTTATTTACAATAAATTTATTAAAAAAATAATAAAATAAATACAAAAAACCTTTGTAAAATTACATCTCCTCGGAGGATTAAACGCAGACGCTAGTTTATTATCGTATTGTTCTGTATTTTTCTCAGCAACTTCTTTAATTCGATTAGGTACTTACGCATATTATGTTAAAAATAAATATCTAGTACACATCTTAGGCTATCCACCATTATTATCCAATGACGACTCTCAGCTAACTATGCACTATCATCCAAAATAAACGTGTATGGAAAATTTTATCCCAGTCGGTTGAGGATTGAGGATAATTGCATCAACATACGAACATACCTACATACTTTTATTTACATAACGCAAGCTAAATAAAAGCTTGTAATAATACATCTAATTTTAAGTTAAAATTGTTAAGTGATCATGATATAATTGTATCATTCAAAAATCCACTTACCTTTAATTATTTCTTGTTAAGTATAAATATTATTTCAAATCTGCTCCCTTAATATGCACTTTTTTACTGCTTTTCCTACCTAACACGTTACCAGGAAGTCACGTTACCAGAGTCAGAGTAATAGTGAACACGTTTGACAGTGATTGTCGTCGCCTCATATTCAGCGTCGACGAATAGGGGAATCCCCAGTCATAATGTATTGCATGCGTGACGGTCTTACTTCAAATCCATAAACAAAGAGATAATTACAGAACTCGATACTAGATGGCGCTGTTTTTGTTTGAAGAAAGTTTGCGGGCTAAAATACATAGAATTTCATCAATGACTTCCACAAAGAACAACATTTCTGTTTTTTCTAAGTCCGTATCTCTTCCGTATATTTCATAAGATATAAGCTTGGGCTACATTGTTATGCAACGTGATTTTGTCGCTGTCTTGCTAGCAGGGTTGACAGATATACGATTTAAATCGTACTCATACTATTATTTGTCTATTTTTTAATGTACGATCGTAAAGATTATGATCGTAATTCGCACAAAAACATACGACTTTTTGGTTACCTGGCAACATTTTTATTATGAAACGAACATGCTCACATCATCAGTCACATGCAACAATTTATTGGGGATTTCCCCTTCACATCTGGCAGTCCTGCTTGCTAGAATATAGGTAAGTCAGCCACAGTTACTGACGATCGATATTTAAAGGGTATTGTTTTTGTGCTAAATATTTCATAAAAACGTTATTTAATACTTTGTGGATTATTAATTTAGTTGATAATCACTGGAAATAAAATGGATGCTAATTTGAGAGATCAAGATCTTCGTACGAGGTTTGTCCGGAAAGTACGTATAAAAGTTTTTTAAAAATTTTATTTTACAATTATTCAGGTAAATCAATTTTATCCCCTTCAAAGTACTCCCCCTGTGACATAATGCACTTGTGCCAACGCCGTTTCCACTGTGAGAAGGCTCCTTGAAAGTCCTCTGGTTGTAGGTTTCTCAGCTGCCCCGTCGTAGCTTTTTTTATCTCATTTATGTCCCCCAAATGCCGCCCCCGAAGTACCAATTTGGTTTTTGGGAACAAGAAGAAGTCACACGGGGCCAAATCCGGCGAATAGGGGGGGTGTTCGGTCACCGTAATGGAATTTTTACTCAAAAACTCACGGAACGATCTTGGCGCAAATTTTTTTCATTTGAAGTTCGTTTCTTAGAATTTCGTGGACCACGGTTTTGCCCAAATTAAGCTCTTCAGCCACCTGTCTGACCGTTAAACGACGGTCCCCATTAACACAAGTTCGAATTCTTTCCACGTTTTCGTCGGAATGTGAAGTGGAAGGACGTCCTGAACGTGGGTCATCTTGAACGCTTTCTCGGCCCTCTCTGAATCTTTTTAGCCACTTGTGGACGGTTGGTTCCTTCACAGCATCATCCCCATAAACTGTTCTGAGATCGGCAAAAATTTCACGGCCATTCTTGCCGAGTTTCGAGAGAAACTTGATTACGACGCGCTGCTCTTCAACGGAAGCGGGCTCCATGCCGACGGGGTTTCGTTAAGAGGTAACTTCACAGATGGCGTGACAAGCCAGTTCGCACCGCACGGCGGTCAGACCAGAACTGAAGCATTGTTAGGGACATAAGGAAGGGGTCCTGCGCTTACCTGGCCTCCCCACTCCTCTTTCTCGCATTCCAGAACACTTTTATACGAACTTTCCGGACAGACCTCGTATAAAACAGTTAATAAAAGAACATCTACGTAAGTACTCTTTTTATACCTAGGTAGGTAAGGTATAATAAACACAAAAGGTACTTAGATCGCGTGTGTTCGAAGCATTTATTCTAATAAATTTAATTTAAAATTGTAGAAAGAAAAAAATGTCTGCCAAGCCGTAGCCGAAGCCGATCTCCAAATATATTTGGCGATAGTGATACCCAGTGTCCAGATGATTTACCCAGCGTCGTCGCAACAAAGAAAAAAAACGAGGATAAAGTAAAAGAAAATTTACTGAAAGAAGAAACAAACTGTTCTAAATGCTTAATTTATGGAAAAGAGGATAAAAGAAATGAGTATTTCGGACTGTTAGTGGCTCAAGAATTTAAATATATACGGCCATGTGTGCGAACGAGGTGTTATGAAGAAATTTTAAAGTATCTACGGGAAGCAAAAGGCCAACATGTGATCAACTGCAACATGAAAACACTGAAAATTAATTACTTTCATTTTATTATATATAGATTTTTAAAATTTCCTGAAATATTATTAGTTAACGTTTTATTTAATATTGTAGAATTGATCAATACAATTTATAAAAATAATTTATTGGTATTACTTACATATTTTCAAAAAAATACGTAAAAACCTATTTTTTTGGGTGATTATGGGAGTTTATGGGTGTTTATTGGGTTTTTACCAAAGCACCGGGTTTAAACCCGGTGCTTTGCCCATCTGTACTTGCTACTCGTATGTATATTTATCATTTATATTAACTTTTGAAAAATTATAGGTATTGCTGAGAAGAAACATACTATTCGCACAACGCATTTGTAACGTCTTTTATTTTGTATCTCTGATTTATTTCATAAAATAAACGTGTATTTTACCTGATAAGTACATATTTCCTATGAATCTCTTATTACTCGAGGGCTTGTAAGAATATATAGGTAATTCTGGCTTTCATGTGCAAATGTCGAGACAAATTAAAGTAGCGTATTACAACTTAATATTAAATAAAGTTTAGGTCATACCGAACAGATTACCTGAAAATTGTTTCATTTATATTAAAGCGCTGAAATATCAGGGGTTCTGAGTTAAGTTACACACGAGCTTTGTTTGAATTATATCAACCACGATCAGACATTTTGATATTCAACATCTACAGTTCAAATATATGATGTCTTTCCTGCCGAGGTCTAGAAATGGCTATGCTACAGCAATTGTCGTTAGTGTAATATTTTATATATATATATATATATATATATATATATATATATATATATAACATATATTTTTTGTTATTATAACATACATTAATGTTTTTATAGATTAAGGATTCTACAAAGTATTTAATTTAAGATTTAGTATCAATTTAATATATCTAAGTTATATTAGTAAATCTTGACATTTTAAGATCACTTTTTATTATCAATCTTTTTATTTTCTTAAAATTCTAATATGATTTTTTTTAATATACTTGATACCTTAATCACCCTATCCTTCACATTATTATATTATCAATAATATATAATCTAAGCAAACGAGCATTATAACATATTGAGCTCCATTAGCCGAATTTAAAGAGAAAGAGTGTTACTGCCGTGGAAATAGTAAATCAATCACTATCAAAATGTTCGACCGTGAGTGGATTGGTTGGATACGTAATGGCACTATTCAGTAGATTGATATGTACCTAGGGCTGTCGACCCTGTAATTATTTTAAATATCTAAAAGTCGTTAGTGATGTTTATCGTGTTTTAAAACATTTTTTTATTACAAAATAGTCAAACTCACGAACTAACTATAAAGAAAAGTTATATCTGTCACTTGTAAATGTCCTGCGGATATAATATATTTTTTCATATTTGTTATGAATACTGATTCCAAATATTTAATTAATATGTGAAATTTTTAACAGTTTATAAATATCATTATAATCTATAATAATATAAATTAATAGCTAATTGTTGTTGCTAAGTGCTAAAGTCGAGTATAGTTGAACCAAGTCAGCTATTTTTTTTTGTCAAATGTAATACATATAAACACTAAAAAAAACCATTTGCTGTGGCGCCACAGTTCCAAGGCATATCTTTTGACATTTTTAAAAGTATTGGGATCCTTGGTGTCGACGTTTCTAGTGATGTATAGTTCCGTGGCCACCTCAAAGATAAGGTGAAGCTGGCATCCAAAAAACTCGGTGTGCTTGATAGAGCGAATCATTACTTTACGCCGGATCAGCGACTAATGCTCTACAAATCGCAAATCCGGCCCCATATGGAGTACTGCTGTCACTTGTCATAGTGAACGAAAGCACATAAATACCAGCTTGAACTCTTCGACTCGGTGTAACGACGAGCTATGAGAATTGTCGATGATCCCAAACTTACAAGCGGTATTGAATCCTTAGGTGAGATTTTGTCCCACTGCGTGTTTTGCCACTTGAACAACGGATTGTACTCAGAGGAATTGTTCAATATGATGCTCACAGCCACTTTCTATCATCGTACGGCTCGCCATCGACAGGAGTTCATCCTCATATTCTACAGCCTAAATGTTCGCGTACAACGCGGTTTCAAAGATGTTTTCTCCCACGAACACTCAGATTATGGAATGAGCTCCCTTCCGAGGTTTTCCCAAGTGACCACAACATGGGGTTCTTCAAAAGGGGGGTAAAGAGGTTTCTTCAGGGTCGACAACGCGCGCGTAATTCCTCTGGTATTGCAGGTATTCATAGGCTACGGTAACCACTTAGCTAGTTACTAACATTATAAACGATAAAAAGTTGCAAATATATTTAAAACATTTGTTATTATAACATACTTAAACGACTGAACTTTGAACTTTAATAGATAATAGATGAACCTGAAATTCATATCCATAAATTGACTACGGGAATGACATAATTTGACGTCCATATCACAAGGCAATTATTTTTTTATGTATCTAAGGAGCGGTCCCAACGACTTAGACAAATAGTTACAGTACAGGTTATGGATAATTATAGCTAACTATTCACATGTAACATAGATAACTTAGGCATTCCTATATCTTTTTTTTTTTTTTTGCAGAAAGTTTTTTTCATTTTAACAATAAGGTTTTTTTGGACTCTGTTACTACTATAATTATGATAAGTATTTTAGAGTTTAGAGACAAATATGATATGATGAGATTTTAAGAATAATTTTACATTCAGTTGTATACCAACAGGCATATAATATTTTTACAAGTCTTTTAGCAACAAACAATGTAATGAAGATACCAGACAGGCTTCTTTCTAATAAATATTAGTGATTATGAACAGATAATGATTCATCTTTATTACACCTAATTTTTCAAACCTTAATACATTAACTCCATTTTGTAATGAAATCCATACTAATACTAGTACCTTATCGCGGGTTCTGACTTTTTTTTGTAAAATATAGCCTTGTCACTCCCTAATAATATAGCTATCTATAGGTGAAACAATTTTTAAAATCGGATAAGTAGCTTATTAACAATAAAAATTTTTCTCTTTATAATATTAATATATGTGAAAGTGAGTTTGATTGTTTGTTACCTCTTGGTACCTTAACAGTATAACCAATCATTATGAAATTTGGTAAATATGTTAAGTGCTATACAAGATGAAGAAAAAAGCTGGTTTTTATCCCGGTCAATTAAAATATCCCAGTTATGCTTACAAAGTCGTGGATAAAAGGTAGTTAAAATATAATGTGGTAGTACTTTTTTCATTCCCATGAGAGGCAACTAAAGAAAATAAACCATACACTAGTGCATAAGAAAAAAACTAGTAGTTATATCTTACCCTACTTGAGAGATTATGGCGTAAATAGTAAAAATAGCCAAGGAGTGGAATGCTGTTCTTGCTCCAATGCTCTTCTAGCTGGATGCAACTTGGGACTTTTTAAGTCCTTGGTGTTCAATGATATGTTCTTATTATGTTCTAGGTAGCGCGTTTCATTAGGTCATGTTGTCCAAAGCTTTTTATTGTACTTTCAATCAATTGACTAGGCGTGAATGCAAAAAGGAATCGAAATAATGATAGTTGAGTTGCTAC